AAGAAATAATTTTTAAAGGAGAAATGCCAGCATTTAACCCTACCTTCTCTTTGGAAAATTAAGTGAGATATTTATGATTATACAATGTTTACATATTAAAAGGAGGTAAATGGAAAGCATTTACGGAATCTAAGTATTGCAGTAGTAGTTTTGTACTTAACTTTTTATGTAAGTTTCTGCTTAAACTCTGATAAATGCTACATGTAATTGCTCCTCTGATACTGCTTAGACTCATAATGAAACAGGATATCCTAAGATGACCAAATCAGATGATTCAGGCTTCTTGTTATTACTCTGAAATCCTTTAGCACTTCAGGCTCTAGAGAAAGAGAATTCTAAACCTAAAATAATCCTTTTTAGCAACTCAAATATTATCTTTCTGAGGAATAACTTAGAAAACAACACCATCAGCCATAATATCTGAATTGATCCCATTTTCCTATTTGACCACTTGTGTAAAACTTGTTTTTCCCTCTGGATTTTCATTCAGTTCATTAATATGTCAGGTGTTAGATGCAAGCTTGCCTTTTTCCATTGGATTCTTTGAGAAAGTGACTTATGTTTGCTCACACTCCCCAATCGACATAAAAATGGATTGTAAATATTTTCATATAAATGCTTTTGATTTACTACAAACCCATGGACTTAAAAGAGAAGAATTCCATCTACTCTTAAAAAAATATGTACCAGGAATGGGGAGATGGCTCAGACATTAAGAGCACTGACTGTTCTTGTAGAGGACCCAGGTTCAGTTCCCATTACCCACATGGCAGCTAACAACCATTTATAACTCCAGTTCCAAGGGATCAGCCACCTACTTCTGGTCACTGAAGGAAATCAAGAACATAGGTATACTTGTAGGCAATACTCACACATAAAATAAAATAATAATTTTTTTTTTTAATGTGAGACCTATTTTCTTCAGGAAGAAGATTTCAGACAAGTTAAGGTTGGGGAAGTTTTTAAAGACTATTCAATATTGAAGCTCCAAAGTAGGAGTTGAAGGATCATGCCATTGTTCTTCAGTGGGGTAAGTGTGATACAAATTTTCTTTATCTTACATCATACTCTAAGATTCTCTCCTGGGAATCACATACAGAATTTCTCTGTAGCCCTGGGACCTATTGACTTCAGCATAATATGATCTGGTGAGAGCTGCTTCCCCCTCTGTGCTTTATCTTGAAGTCACCAAATGCTGAGAGAACAGTAGATATGATGATAACAGGGTACCAGGAAGACCTCCAGTTCTGGAGAATAAATATTGATTGATTTTTTCTCTCTGTAAAGGTAATTGATTTTCATAGTGACCATTATGGGAGGCAGCAAAAGGTATGATGGAAAGAATACTTATCTTGGCATCAGAAAATTTATGTATGCCTTCCTCTTCACATTTTACTTAAAGATAAGTTTAGATTTGAGTGCCCTTATCTAGAAATTGGAGTTAATTATTACTACCTCAGCAGCATTTCATGGGAAATCATTACAAGATCATATATTGCACTAGAAAAATAAGGCCATAAGAAAATAACATTATTTTTAAAACTATTATCTATGGCTACTAGGAAGTCAGAATTAACACAAATTCCATAGGAACTGTAACAGCACAAAGATAAGAGGCTAGAGCTCAGGAA